TTATGCTTTAAAAGTAGGGTAATCATAGCAGGTTTCATCCATAGTTTGTCCATTTAAACGTCTGCGTTTAGCTTCAAATGGCGTCTTTGATGACATTATTCTATAAAAACAATTTGCATTCTGATTCTGACATCCAAAAGCACAACAATAAATTTTTTCTCTTATTCCATTCTTATTCCCCCGGTGTCAGCGTGGCCTAAATCCGCTCTGTCTCTATACTGATTGTTATATTTATACTGATTGTTTTCTTTGCTCACACACAAACAAGGTGTCTACACCGGATGCGACAGCTGTACAGAGATACCCCTTTTAAATACATTTAGTAGCAGAGCTACTGCACGCGATTTTCAGTGCTGGAAATCCTTTTATCCTTTGTTGAAACCTCCGCTTCAGTGCTGGAAATCCATTTATCCTTTGTTGAAACTTCCGCGTCTTTCTGGAGAGCGCAGGTCACGGTCTCTTCGCAACAGCAGATGCCACGAAAGCGCAAGCTCCCGAGTGCTTTGGAAAGAAGGAGAAAGCGGCACGACTCGTGTTTTCCACGCGTTTTAAGGCGCGACATGTGAACGGCCCCAAAGTTTGTCTACACTGGATGCGACAAAGCGACCGTTGCATATCATTTGAACTTTGTGTCAATACGTCATAACATAAAGAGAACGCGGCATCAGTTTACTGTCGAGGATTTGTCGCGCCGCGCCGCATCCAGTGTAGACAGACAGCATCACTGATTATAATGGATTCTATTGTGTTTTGTCGCGTCGTGCCGCTCGTGTCCGGTGTAGACACGGTGAGAGCCACGCAGATGCACGTGAACACTGAATTCTGTTCATTTCTGCGTCTATTTGTGCCTGAAATACTGTGTTCTGCAAGTATCCTTGTAAACACATTTGCTTATGGCTTAGGTGAAGGGAAACAATTGAGAAAGAAAATGGATGTTTAACAGTATATTGGTTCACAGCAGTTTAATGTTCTTGTTGCTTTCTCCGTTCATGAACGTTAATCAAACAACAAAACGCAAAGAAAAATCACTTTTGTAGCTTTAACACAGATTTGTTAGATTTAATTTATAGTGAAAACTATGCAGTGTTATTTTACATTTGATTATTCAATTTCTGTACCTGAAAAATATAAAGCACTGCTTATTTCATTTGTTTATTTCCTATGCTGATTTACTCGCCTACAAAATCACCCCAATCATTGATTAATTTTTTTCCAAATATAAAGCTATTGAAGTCATCTGATTTTTTTCCCATATCGCAGAAAAAAAAATAATCGCAATGTGAGTTTTTTCCAATATCGTGCAGCCCTAGCGTGTATTAATCATAATAATTTGAATTATAATTTTATCTTTAAAAATTTTAAATATACAATTTTTTTTTACAAATATAAATATAATAAAATATATGTTCTCACTTGCCCTGTCTTAAAAGGTCAAATTATCTGATATTTTTAAGAGACTTATTGACCTTTTTGGTCCTGGTATCATATCCTGTATTTTTTATATTTATTTATTTATTTTGCATGCTGGTCACACCACAAGTATTAATACATGAAATAGACAAATGAATCTTATTAGAGACCTTAAAATCATGTTCATCTTTTAAAAGGTCTATTCAAGTAACTGGAAGTGTGAATTGCGTTTTAATGTATTTTTGAAAAAATGTCATGTCACTGACCCAAATTAACTAAATGTACTTTTTGCTATAAGCAACAGTCAGCAGGTTTTGAAAATTTAATTCTTGAAAATAAAAACGATAAAAAAAAAAAAAATTGTAGTAACAACTTGTCTTATAAAAAAAGTCATATAATATAGTAACATATTTCAATGGGAATCATACAAATTGCATGTTCTCTTAAATAACATACTCCATTTCTATGGTCAAATGAAGACCGCCAATTCTGCTAAAGCCCCCTGCTTAACTTATTGATCAGTAAGGCTTTCAAATCCATCTGCTGCCCTACTTCCTCTGCATTTTAAGTGCATATTGTAAAGCTAGTCTCTTTTTGTCTCATTTTTAACAATGATGTGCCACAGTCCCCAGGGTGCTAAGTTCTTGCGCAGGCGAGACAATTATCCCAATATCCAAGCGCAGCGTTCTGCTTTCACAGACAGTAACGGCAAACTTTTTACCCCCTAACATTCTCTTTCCTTTTGTTTTTTAAACATTCTAGGGGGGCAATTTGCTTTCCCCATCCTACCTCAAGTTACTAAGGGGTTTCAGGCTACTGTAATAGTAATTGCGTGCCCCCCACGCCACCCCACATTGGAGGGCTAATTAAAGAGACGGAGGCTGTGAAGGTTTGGATCCCCTGGGTTCAGGCTCAGCATGAGAAAGGTAATTTGTCTGTCCTGAACAAAGAGATTAGGGAGAAGCCGGGGAGCTACTTAATAAATGAGCATCAAATGTCCTCACCCGTGGACACGGACAGCACCAATTATGTCACCATGAAATTGCACATAATAAACACAATGGCTGCCGGACGAGGCCTCCTATCTGTCTAGGGAAGCGTTCAGTCGGTTCTCTCTCTCTCTCGCTCCTTTCTGTCCTGGCTTGTTTCAGCTCCCAGCTTATTTCTATAGGTTCAGAGGAGAATTACAGCAAACTTCAAAATCTGAGTAGAGAAAACGCACCGCAATCTCATAAATTACGGTGTATCTTCACTGCAGTGGTGAATAGGTTTCCTAAAAATGATTTGAATCTCTCTGTACCAAGCGAAAACACAACTGTTTAAGTATCTCCTGAGGACACGTGGACCTTCTCCATTCCTACTGGTGAAGAGGGGCGTCTGGGTGTATTTAAGAACTCTCTCTCCGCTATAATTAAAGCAGCGAGGCCAATATTCAGATTGCATTTTAGCATTAATAATTCAGCTGTTTTCACTACAATTGATGTCGGCACATAAATAAACAATGAGGCCTCATATTTACACAGCAGCAGTCGCCGAGCGAGAGCAAGGGAGAGGAATGGAAGGATGGGGGCTTAAACAGACATTTAAAATTAAGCATGATAATGCAAAGGCTTTCAATTTGAAACGCAACATGCTCTTGGAGCTAATTTGTAAAAGTGATGATGCCTTAAAAGGCCACTAACAGAGCACCGAGCTTAATGGAGCTGTTTCCCCCGGCTCAATACATCTCTCCTCAAACTATTTTTTCCCATTGAAGGTGAAATAAATGTTCACTGGGAAACTCGACAACTGTCCGATCTCTCTCACATCCCCGTTGTCTCCATATCAGTACTGATTATGTGTCACTGAGCTGATGTTTTCAGTGCTGCCGAGTGATACAATCGGCTGGTGGCTGACTACACAATGAAGTCTTATTGCAGACGGTCCCAAAGGCGAGAAGGGGAATTAGGTAAATAATTTGCCTGCTTGGCGTCTGGTTTTGTTTATTTAAAGCTTGCTGTGCAGCGTCGGAGGAGTAAATAGTCAGACAGAACTGTGGCTGTGAAAACAGAGACGCAAATGGGACAGAATGCTTGACGCCAGCTAGCTTTTTTTGTAAAAACATATAATAAAACCAGATTAAGAAATGCAAACACAGCTTTTGTTGTTGAGCAAAGTGGGTGCATGAAAATCTGTGACCAATAGTTTCAGGATTTCATGTTTTGTATCTTGTGGATGGCAAATGAATTCTACATAATCAGTACTGAATGTGAATGTGTCAGAGTTAGGAACAAGGAAATATTTTTCACTCCTTGCCTGTCTTGTAACTAAAAAGCTTGCATTAGCTGTGATCTCATTTCAGCAAGTTAACATTAATTGTGATCAATTAGCTTCCAGCCAGGATGAATTACACTTGTACTCTAGACCTGACTATGGGTTAGGGGCACAGAATTAGATATTCGGTTCTGTTCCTTAAAACTACAATACGTATTAAAATTAAAAGCAATATTTTGATTAGGGACTGACTGAATGGTGTGTTTGGCTAAAAAAAAAATACATGAAGTGGTCCTGAACCTATAGAAGAGGATTTTAAGTGTGAAACTTTGATAGCAGACAGATAGCGGCTCTCACTTTCTGGTCAGGCAGTAGAGGGTTAGTCTGCAGTGAACTCAAATGGCCGTTGATGAGTGCTGTGGGTCGGTCGTGTTCGCAGAACAAGCTGCCGTTGATGTAGTGAAACCTGTCACCAGGGACCAGCCGGTTCCGGCAGGTAGAACATGTGAAACACTGCAGGAGACAAGGAAAAGGACTCCATTACCCACAATTCTCAGATCTCTGATCAATTTCTGGAAAAGTTCAGTCATTATCTACTTATTTTAACTTTTCATTATTTCCTTATGGGGATTCAACATGGGCATTTAATACTGATGAAAAGACTGACTAAAATATGCACACAATATTTCTGATTGGGTATCAATTATAAGCTAAAAGAAAAAAAAATAGATCACCATCTTAACAATCATTAAAAAGCAGACTATATGGAGTGTGAAAGGATTCTGTAGTGCAATGAAGCATTTCATTCTAGAGCAGCAGTGGTCACTTAAAGATTAAAGTTTACCTTGAGATGGTACACGTTCCCCTGTGCCCTCATAACCAGTTCACTGGCTGGGATGGACTGACCACACGCACTGCACGCCCCACTGTTCCCAAATAACCTGTGAAAAGAAACAGAGACATGTTAGCATTGTCAAAATAAGAGATAAAGTGTGAGCCCTGAATCTGTCTTAGACACAGCCTAAATCAAAACACTGTGAATGTTACAGCATGACAGAAATTACCATCAGCGAAAAGTGCCAGAAAATATCATTAAATGGGTCATATGATGCGATTTCAATTTTTCCTTTCTCTTTGGAGTGTTACAAGCTCTTGGTGCATAAAGAAGATCTGTAAAGTTGCAAAGACTAAAGTCTCAAATCCAAAGAGATTTATAAACTTTATAAAAGTTAAGAGTCAGCCACACCTACCTAAAACGGCTCGTTCTAACACACCCCACATGTCTACGTCACGATGTGAGAAGATTTGCATAACGCCAACATCATATGACCCCTTTAACAAAAATCTCAAATAATTAGGAACAAAATTATTCATTAAGATGTACAAATGAGGAAAAAGGGTAATTACGTGAAGGAACACAAACATTACTACCACATTTCATACCAGTATCTCATGACCAATATCTCATGACCAATATCTCACTCCTTTACGTGATCTATTTTCGTTCACACAGTGTGACCTGTGCAAACAAATTAAATCTTTCAGCATTGATAACTAAAGCCATCAGTTGTATGCGGTTTAAAAATGATTTTTTTTAAGTCAATGACATTTTATAAATAATATTTTCAGTCTGTTCTTTAAATTAACTTCTTGTATGGCTTCAGAAGGTTTGGTTTACTACCGTTCAAAAGGGGTAAGTAAGTTTTTTTATCTTTTCAAAAGAAGTCTCTTATGCTCATCAAGGCTGCATATATTTAATCAAACAGTAATATTGTGAAATATTATCACCATTTAAAATAACTGTGTTCTATTTATCATATTTTAAAATTATAATTTTATTTTTAATTTATTCCTATAATGGCAAAGCTGAATTTTCAGCATCATTACTCCGGTCTTCAGTGTCACATGATCCTTCAGAAATGTTTGTAATATGCTGATTTGCTGCATTTCTTTTTATTACCACATCTGAAAACCTGCTGCTTATTTATTTTTATTATTTTATTGTATTGTATTATTTTGTGTAACCTAGAATAATTTTTTCAGGTTTTTTTTTTTAAACAGAATGTTCAAAAGAACATAATTTATTTGAAATAGAAATATTTTGTAACAATATAAATGTTGATAAATTTAATGTGTCCTTCCTGAATAAAAGTATACAAAAAAAAAATCTTACTTTAAACTTTTAAAAGGTGGTGTAAAAAGTGCATGAGTCATGTGGACTAATATTACAATGCTTTATAGTATTTTATTGTACTTTCTGGAGCTTGACAGCCATTGCCAACATCCTCTTTCATTGTATGGAAGAGAGCAGCATTAACATTTAAAAAAACTTCTCCTTTTGTGTTCTACGTTTGAAAGTAAGTCATATGGGTGATGACTGAGATTTTAAATAAAACACAATGGACATGCACAAGGTCCTTATTTCTGTGTGCATCAAAAAGGTTTGTTAACCTGTTTGGCCTTGTTTTACTGTAAAAATTAAATCCTTGCAAGGATAGGTTAAATCATTTCAATCCTGTGCCCGGGCCTCCTTTTCTCCCTCTCGCAGTCTCTCTCTCTCTCTCTCTCTCACATGCACACATGCAGAACAAATTACATCTTAAATATTCTGATGTAGGAAAAATAAAATCAAACCAAATGAAAAAATCCTGCATCCTGTCCTCCAACAGCCTCTGCCGCTGGGACTAAGTATTACCTTTGGTGTTCATTTTTTGCAACCTAATAATAACCTAGAACATATGCAATCAGGGCCTAAGAATATTTGATTGTACATCTAGGCGGAGACACAGCACTTTTGCCATTAGGACTCAAGCGAGTGCTCAGTCTCTGCCGCCTTTCTATTAGAAACCCCCGGCTACCCGGGTTGATATATAATGTGCATGGGTTAACCTTTTCAATCATGGTGTCAACACTTTAGATTTGCTTCTGCTCATCTCTTTCGTCTCTAACCTTCTCTCTCTCTCCCTCTCTCTCTCTCAGTCTCTTGATAATGAAATGCTTGCTCCTGCTTCCTTTCTATCTGCCTTCTGAGTCCACAATTTAGATTACTTCATCTTGCCGAGCAACAAACTGAATGAAATTTCGATTTGAGCAGAAAGTAATTTACTGGGTGGGGGACCCATTTGTCATCATAGCTCACTGGCTGTTTGCTCTATCACTGCACTTTTCCTATGCAATCAAATAAGACCACAGCATCTGACAAGCTCCAGAGAGAGAGAGAGAGAGAGAGGGAAATATGAGGAAAGAAGCAAGAAAGAAAGAGACCGTTAGAAGGATAGAGGGAGGGAAATGGGGAATGGCTACAAAAGGATAGAGAGGAAAGAGATGAAGGAAACGTTGGGTGTTCACAGCATGTCCCTCATGTACACCGTTACAGATTAACCTAAGAGTTCATGGATGATTTCGTCCCACAAGATTCTTCCAACTCGTAAAAAGATAAACGCACATTGTACGGATGCCGATATAACATCACAGCATGCATGTGAACGTGTACGTTCCGACATCGAAACAGCCGTCACCTGCGACGTTTTGCATACACGTGTGGCGTTTATTGAGGGCGCTACACGACGAGCGAGTGAAGCTTTAAGAGTTTCTCTTCAGCGGTGGCTGTAGGGTGAGGCGGGGGGGGGGGAAAACAAATTTGGCTGTGGCATCGATTGGAGCAGCTCAATCAAAACTCAATTTCAAACGTAATTAGCTGTAGGCTTGTGACAAGGCAACCTTTTTATTTTCTTGCCTCTCTATATGTAGTGTAGCAGGTTAATTATTTGAGCAGGGGATGGCTGCTGATACCATTTGATTTAAAGGCCTGAAGGCTTTAGGTGCTCAATTAAGTTCCTATCAGTCTGCTCCTCACCTCTAATGGTCTCTCTCTCCATTGAACTTGTGTGCTGACGAGGGGAGCGTAGAGGAGCGATATCACGGGTCACCATAATTAAGGCCAAGGGACTCTTTAATTGCAATGACAACACCAGTTTTGGCTTCCTTCTCCTCAAATCAGCCTCTCACTTTCTAGGTATTCAGCCCCTTGATCAATCAGAGGAGGAGGATTTTGTCAGCGAAACACTGCGGAATGCTGATTTATTGACTTGCTTCGTCTCGGAACGGGCGGAATAAAGAGGGGGCTACAATCACGGCTGTCTTTCATCACGAAAGCAAGACAAGAAATCTGTCTGCGCTCCATAGGCGATGTCTAGAGGATTTAATTTGGATACCGACTGTGAGGTAAAATACAACCTAGCAGGGCTGTTTTGGGCCATCTGGCAATAGCTCGGCCTCTTAAGCGAAACCTTTTGAGTGGAGAGATGTAAGTTGTTACAACAATGATTTCTGCAACACAGTCCATTATAAAAATGCCTCTCAACATTAGCAGCCAAAGCACCTTAAAAGCACCGAGCCATGTTGATACTTAAGCAGGGCTTTGCATAATGGCAATGTTACATTAGGGAGAGAGAGTGAGAGTGAGAGAAAGAGAGAGAGAGAGAGAGAGAGAGAGAGAGAGAGAGAGAA